CTTCTGCCCTTATTTGGTGAGTGAACGAAGTGGAGGCTTGTGAAGTCTCACAGGCACATTCTTCTATTACCAATCTGGATCTCGCTGTATTACACATTTAGTTAAGAAGAACCCTGTACAGTTCTTCTAATTTTTACATATTCTCCTCTTGTGTGGCCTATTTTTACTCTTCCATTCTGCTGATATAGTCATTATAAACTCACGGCAGCAGACATGGATCCAAATGCAAACTCTTCTCTGTTTTCTTCCATTGCTTTTTCTGACACAAACTGTTGGGCTTCCTTCCTTTCTCATCTTATGCGGTCCATTCCTACATCTTATGGTTCAGTCCACTTTGAATATATGAAAATAAATGACTGAACTCTAATATAATACATGTGTATTTTTCTTTAACAGCAATGTAACCCCAAAGTCATTGCCAGAAACAGATTTCAACAGGCCTGAATGATTTATTCCATAAAAGGTTTTGGGGGATATGGCCAAACACAATAAAAGTCACTGACAGATCTTTTTTTTTTTTGGCTACAGCTACTGAACTAAAAGCTTGACCAGTGTGTTCACAGTTTACACAAAATTAATACTCAGCATTAAATTGACCAAAAGTGACGGTAAAGACATTCTATTTCAAATAAACACTGTTCATTTGAACTTTCTATTCATCAAAGAATCCTGAAAAAAAAAACATATCACTGTTTCCACAAAAATATTAAGCAGCAAAAAAATATTAAGAAGAACATATTGATAATAATAAGAAATGTTTCATTATATTGTACCAGTGTAAGATTTCTGAAGGATCATGTGACACTGAAGACTGGAGTAATGTTGCTGAAAATTCAGCTTTGCCATCTTAAGAAGAAATTACATTTTAAAAAAAGTTGTGTAATAGTATTTCACAATAATACTGTATTTGCTGCATTTTTGACCAAATAAACACAGCCTTGATGAGCATAAGTAGCTTCAAAAACATTTTTAAATATTCATACCTACAGCAAACTACCAACAAAAACATTAACAACATTAATACTAATATTAATGCATATTGTTGTGGTTTTATCATTTAACTTCTATCAGTGAAATGCTTTTAAGTTTGCCTGTGTTGACTTTACACTAAACAACAACTGCTTTGACGTTTCTTTCTTTCTCTCTCTTCTTTAGGAGCAAAGAAAAAATAAAAGGGTAGCAAAATACTTGAAATGAATATAAAAATTACAACACCAGTATTCAAATATCAGAACCGGAGGCAACAGATAAACAGAGAGGCTCAAATAACTGAGCAGAAATTTATTGGGTATAACAAAACAAAAGAGCAGAGACAGAGGGAGAGAGAGAGAGAGACAGAAAAAGAGAGGGGGGAAGCTTTATTTGAAAATGAGCAGGTTAAACTAGATTCTCTCAAGCTCACCAGCTCATCAAGCACACACATCAAATAACACTTTATGTTAATCAGTCAAAAGGCTATAAGGAAAAAGGCAAAAATATCCTCCAATCCACTTTAGTAGAGCAGAGTAGTTTGCAAACAGTGACAACATATCTCCTGACTCCAGTGTGCATCAGTCTCCATTCTGTGCTGAAAGAAGTCCTTTATTAGTCCCCAAAATGTTTTTTTTTTTGCATACATTTTCTTTCTTTTTTGCACCAAAGTTGTTAAATAAATTTGGCACATGGGATGAAATACAAAGGACTAAAAAACAGATTATATGAAACCAAAAGTGAGAAAGGAAGGACTTTATAATATAAGTGAAACTCATGTACAGTACAATACAAAAGCACATATAAAGTATCAGCAAACACAGCCGTGAAGCTGGAAAATGCAAACAGTGTGATTAGAATATTTAAAGCTGAAGTGTGTCATTTCTGCATATTAAACATAATTGCAATTGTTTTCAAACAGGTTTCCTTCCCATCTGCCATTGGTCAGCCAAACAGAAAGCCCCGCCCACTGATTGTGCTCAAGTCAACAAAAAGGTTTCCTCATAGCTCTCTGCATATTAAGCAACGAAATGCAACAATATTTCATTACTGACATTCTTACACACTTCAACCTTAAAGAAAACAAAAAATAATAGAACTAATAAATGTTTAAGGTGCTTTAAGATTGCTCTGCTGTCTGTGAAATTCATAGACACCCTTTTCTATATACTGAATATACGTACTTGTAAAAGCTGATGCAACACAATCTATATGCTTTCAGATGAGAACACAACAAGTGATACAGAAAATACTGATATACAGATCCTTCAAAAACTAAAACAGTTTGAACGTCAGCCAAGCATACAAACATTCATCAAAGACCAACAGCTCTCTCTATTGCATTTTATGATGCAATTTTAAAAGAGTGAAACTCATGAGAAATGTGGCAGATAAATTTAAAAAAAAGGAGAAAATAATGCTTTAGATAAATTAATTTAGGTTAACAAATTAAACAATTAAACATCATAGCAGGCTCACCTTTTAACATTGTTGCCATTCATTACTAAAACAAGCAATGATTGAATATTAATTCACATGTTTTTATACTGTATTAAAGTCAGGTGATTCACTCACAATTCAAAACTCAGTCCGTTCATAAAATTCTCAAGTAAACATTAGAAAAAAGTTCCAAAGTACCAAATTCAATAAAAGCATCTTTCCTTTCCAGAATGTCAATGCACTTTCTTTTTAAAGACAACTTGTACAAACACCCACAATGCACTGATAATTATACTGATATAGTATCCTATACGAACGATTGCTACTTAGACAATAACAAAATTGCTCCATGACAGTTATTTTGTAATTCTGTATGGCAAAAGTATTGTTATCAATTAATGGTTAAAACACATCTGTTCCTATCACTTGTTCATTTTGGCCACACACAAGGGGAATGAGCAATTTCATAATTGTCCATGATATTGCCTTTAGCTCATTTTAATGAAACTATCAATCCTCATCTATAACCAATGGTCTCTATTGCTATTAACCTTGCACTGTTTATTAACACTGATGCCTGAGGTTTCTTCTCAGTATCATTCATACTGATCTACTGACCTCACTCAATACTGAGGCTGCCTGAATCCTCACCGTACTAACTCTGAACTACCGCATCCCGGAAATGAACAATATGTCAAAATAACAGGAAAAAAACATTGATGAATGTGCTGTTCTCAGAATAGCAGATGAAGGAACAGCAAGGAGACTGTGTGATGGCACAGAAACAAAGTGCTCAAAGTGAAATAAACTTCAGTGGTTTGTCTGTGCGGACATGGCAGAGATACAACTGTTGTGTTTGTGAACACACTCACATATATTGACACACACACGTTCTCAAAGGTGAGGTGCCTCATTGGCCCTACACAGTAGGCACTGGAGTGGCCGTATTTGTGCCATTGTTTCCTCTTTGTTAAAGTGGTTTAACATAGTTTCCTGGGAACGTTCCAAATAAGCTGGTTCTCCGAGAGGTACCTGAAAACAAAGACGTGGTATAATGCATAAAAGATGAAAACATAATGTGCAATGTACATTATTATAATTACATGACACTTTGGGATACTTGATTCTGATTGGTCAATTACATAAAGTGATCAAATATTTTTGTATCATGATGGCTGTATAATTGCCTACTGGTCTGATTTCCCACATTCCCCACATACCAAGCGGTGCAGTTAAAATAAAATAACTTCAACTCTAATCATGCATGCATTTGGAAATGGGAAAGAACAGTATTATTCACTATAATTCATTCTAAGTAATACATACACTAACATTCAAAAGTCTGGGTTCAGCAAGATTTTATTTTTTTTTTAAAATAAAAAATAACTCTTATATGCTCACTAAAGCTGCATTTATTTAATCAAAAATACAGTAAAATTTGTAATACTGTAATTATTACTAAATATAAATAAATATATTTTAAAATATAATTTATTCCTGTGATCATTCTAATATGCTGATTTGGTGCTCAAGTGATCCTTCTTTTTATTATCAATGTTAAAAACATTTGCTGCAGATCTTTTTTATGCTCAAACAGCAACATTACAGACTAACTAAAGTTGAAAAAGTGAAAAAGCATAATAGGACCCCTTTAATACTCTTGTGGAAAATTATACATTTTCTCAAGATTCTATAATGAACAGAAAGTTCAAAAGAACAGTATTTATTTGAAATAGACCTGCAATTTTTTTTTTAATACATCTTTGCTGAATAACAGCATTAATTTCAATAAATAAATAAATAAAAATAATAAAAAATAAATTATTCTTACTGACCCCAAACTTTTTAACAGTAATGTATATATATTTAATTTATTAAGTCATACTGAGTACTCTATAAGTAAATCTCGTAAAAGAAAAAAAAAAACATTTGCAGAGGTGCTGTAGTAGCTTCATAAAAGACTTATTATTCCCTATTTACTTGTTCTATTTTTTTATTTGTATTTTTATCTATGTTTTTGTCCTGTCTCTGTCATTCTGTTACACTGTGGAAGCTTCTGTCACAAAAACAAATTACTCGTATGTGTAAACATACCTGGCAATAAAGCTTATTCTGATTCTGATTCTGACTTACCCACAAACCAGCCATCATCACATTTCTCAATGACATCAATAACGTCCCCCTCCTTCAGCTCCAGCTCATCCTCATTACGAGGCACATAGTTATACACAGCTTGGAAGCTAACGTAAAATTAAAATAGTGTTTTTAAAATGTGCTCTTTGTGGTCGGACAGTGAAAAAACGAAATAACAGTGTCTAAAAATTGAAAAGTGTACTTACGGCTCACCACCTGAATGCTGACAATCCTGCATCATTTTCTGAAAGAAAGAGAGAGGAAAGTGTCAGTATAATGTACAGGTAACACTTTAAGGTGTCAGAATATCATGCCAAATCCAGACACAGGATGTCAATCTGTGAGTCTTCATCGTCATCGCAGAGCTTAGAGAAGATTTGTTGTGTTACAACACACACAGACAGGAAACCAGAAACGACCAGAGAATTAAAAAAGGGATTAGAAAGGACTTCATTTCCCAGTCTGCACTGCTGCTAGTGTCACAGCACACTCCATCCTACCCTTCTTGCTCTACTGGGTGATAAACAGGGAGATAAACAGCGCCTTCTGGTGGAAATGGGGCTACGTGGTGGCTTACCCTCAACCACCACTTCCTGCCTATAAACTGTCTGCAAGAATCAAATGCAATCAGAGATCAGCATTCTCTTACAAACTCCATCTTACAACCCCCATTATTGGTCTTAATCGCACAATTAATTGTTAATTATCATTTCAGTTTAGTCATTCCAGAGTCTTGAATTATTAGGGATATAAGTACAGTCCAACAAGAGATATAATTATACATAAAAAAACACCCTTCTCACTCACACTATTGATACATGCCATATTTAAAATGATGGAATGAGGAATCTAAAAACTCATATATCTTGCAATAATTTTTTTTTTTACAGTAACCACAAGCTGTTAAGATATAATAAGGACAGAAAAAGCAGGGATGAACAGATATTAAAATTCTGTCTGATACCAATAAATCAGTAATTATGTTTACTGTATGTTATGACTGATTACTGCCAAATTGCTAATCATTGCTCATTTTAAATGCCGCAAGTGAAATTAGCTATTAAAATTATTTGTTTAATTTGTAATCTAAATATAAAATTAGAGGAAATGAGCATGCACAATTAAATAACCAATTTCAGTCAATACAGATAAATGAGTACATTTATTTAAAAAAAAATCTAAAATCAATTGATAACTGATATTGTAGTGATATATTTTGCATGGCAACAGAAAACACCATAAAGGGACCATAAAAGTGGTGCATATGTTCAGGTCAGCATGAACTGTGTGGCAAGAACAGCTTGATATTTCTACTGTGGGTTTGGAACAATATGAGGGTGTATAAATAATAAAAAAATTCATTTTGGGGTGAACTAGCCCTTTGAGACATTACTTCTAACTCTTGTGATTTGTGTCAAATTTATTTCATCTCAAGCCTTTGTCCCCCCCCCCCATGTTTGTTTAATGTCGAAAACATTACGGATGCACATGTACATGCGCCACACAGCAACCCTTAAACCAATGTTTTGTTCATTCTTTTTACCTTGATCTTAGGAGATCGAGGCTGTGAACGTGGGGAGAGAGGAGAAACAGAGGGAGAGGATGGAGGGATGGATGGAGAGGGCTGAGTGGAGACTACGGTTACAGAGGAGGGAGGAGGAGGAGGAGGAGAGGTGAGGAGTGGAGGAGATCTGGGAGGAGATGGGATGTGCTCTGAGGAAGATGGAGGAGGAGAGGGAGAGGAGGACGGGGAGGCTGGAATAGTTGGTAAAAGAGGCTGAAAGGAGGAATAAAGAGGAGGATGCAAAGAAGGAATAGGAGATGAAGGAGGGATTGGTGAGATACGAGGAGAAGGAGACTGGGAGGAGGGATTTGAAAGAATAGGAGCGGAAGTAGGAGAGGAAAGCTGAGGAAGGACAGAAGAAAGAAGGGGTTGTGGAAATGAGGAGGGAGGAGAAGGAGATGATTGATAATTAGAAGGGAAAGAAGGCAAAGAAGTAAGAATATTGAGAGTCGATGAAGAAGGAGGAGGAGGAGGAAGAGGGATTGGGGAGTCTGGAGGAGACAAAGGAGGTGAAGGAGGAGGAGTGCGGAGAGGAGAGTCTGAAGGGGAAGAAACAACTGAGGTTTGGAGGACAGAAGAGGAATAGGATACCAAAGGAAGAGATGAAGCAAGAGGAATAGGAGGAGGACTTGGAGAAGGTCTGGAAGCAGACGCTGGAGAAGAGTGAACAGCAGAGGCAGATGATTCAACATGTGGAGGAGAGAAACTAGTGGAAGATAGAGTTAGGGAGGAATCAGTCATGGGGGAGGTGGAGAAAGGGAGAGATGGCGTGATGGAGGAGGAGTCAGCCTGGCAAAGAGAAAGACAGAGCTGAAACTTTCACAACTTTGAGCCTGATTGTCAAAATAACACACACAACTAGTGTGACAGATACTATTTAAAGGGGCCATATCATAGTAAATAGGATTTGTCTTGACCTTTTGAAATCGGATTGAGGTAGACTATATATATTTCTGCTCAGAAATCTTGCCACATAACTATCAATGTTTACATATCAACGCCCATTTAATATTCAGAAGCGTGCCACATCCTGTTACAGCAAAATAACAAGGATAATGCAGGAAGGATGACATTCCTTAAGAAATGTCCAGATCACATTCACCCCAAAACCATCAGAAACACAACAAGGGATCATATTTTGCATTAGTAAAATGGTATTGTCAACACACAGTCAATCTCATTATTTTTTAATCTGATGATTCTCATTATGACTTTAATACTTCTTATAATACGGTATTGTAATACAGCAAAAACTGTTTTTTACAGAAATTATTTAAACATTTTTTATTTGCACTGCAGCAAATAATGTCATGATTATTATAAAATGTATTTATTCACTTCTTTTTACAGTAATGAGAATGAGGCTCTATTAAACACAGTGGCAAAGAGAAATTGAGGGGTAAAATAAGCTTAATTGCCCTGAAAACAAATGTAAAAGATCTTGTGTTTCCTAATAGCAGACCTTTTCCCACTTTTCCTTTTTGAGGTATAATGTGATCTGGACACCTCTTCGTAAATCTTTCCAAGTTATACTTGATCCTGCAGAAAACCGGCAACCCACAAGTAACCACTGTTATTATTTCACATGCAAATGAGTTCGCTAATCATAACAGAGTACATTTACATGAGCAAGTCTTAAGGCCTGTTCACACCAAGGATGATAACTATAACAGTAATTATAAACTTTTAATTATTATTCTAATTCTATGAGGATAGGGAAGTCCAGGTATAACATTTTTTTTTGTCCAGCTGATAAACGATAAAAACATTGCATTTAAAGCAGCCAGGAAAACTGAATAACATTATACAGTACATATCTGGACTTCAAAGAAAAAAAAAATTACAAACATGTTTGATATGGCCCCTTTGATTTAGTCATTGAACATGCAAATAATGTTTTGTATATAAAAAATAAACCTTTTCAGAATAATAAAAAAAAGTGTTAAACTTAAAGTTCTACGAGTTTTTATTCACTGCACACAACCAGACTATCATGCTTCTTTCACATTGCATGTTCTACCTCTTTTTTTGAAACAGTCTCCAAGCCTGATCTGTTGTTTGTTTCATCATCCTCTTCCTTTATGTACAACTCAGGAAGTTCCTCCCACTTTATAGCAGCTACTGGACCGTCAAACTCTGTTTTCTTATTCAAAATGACTGACAGCAGCTCCTCAGCCTTTTTCTTATGGATATCATGATGTTTATCCAGTATATATTCTGATTTGTGGCTTGGACTGATGGACAGTGGCTTATCAGGTAATGCTTCTTGATTAGCCATGCTTTCTGATCGATTGCCCAATCTGAATTCAAGTTCATTATAGAGTTGATTTTTCAGAAACATCGACATAAGCTCGCCATATGGATCAGGTTTATTTATTAGCCTGGATGGGTCATACTTTTGTATCAAGCTTTGGTCCTTTAAATACATATCTTTTAAGAGCTTTATACCATCATGACTCTTTTTTTCCATTCTTAACAGCTCTTGAGTATGGTCTGTGATCTGTTTCACTGGAATTAATGTATCTGGTACATCTATTGCTGTCAGTTTATCTCTGTAGAGACGTTCATGGGAATAAAGGGAAATATTTGAGGACTCTGAAGTGATTGGTCCTTGGCTAGGAAAAGGGGAGCATTCTTTTGCATCCACAAAAGGGGAAAGGTTTTGTGGCGGGGTGAACCTTTGCACAAGTGAAGCAGGGGATTGGGGGCCTGTGTAGTGTAGATTGCTGGGTAATGGAGGAGGGGTGGGTGGGACTGGACTGCCATAGGAAGATGGGTAAGTGGTGGAAACTCCCAACATGAGGGACAGCCATTCACTAGTGACTGTTTGAAAGTGTGTCCCAGTGGCAGAATCAAGACATTGCAAATGGGAGGGCTCTGTATTGTACTTAAGCAAGGGAAAAAGAAAGCAGGAAGGTTTATAAACTTACTGGATTAAATAAGGTCTGTAGAACAGACTTTGTTGGTGTGATGGTCTAAAACTGGCGCTAAAGACTTACCTTATGTGCCTTATATGTGTGCGTGTCTCCTTGGTGACTGGGGCTCTTGGAAGGAGAGCCCTTGATCACATCGATATAGGACACAGGGAAAATGCCCTGCTTGTTTGAGCCAGGAACCTTTCCTTCATACCAATTCTGATCCACCTTCCTTAGAAGGATCACTCGCTCCCCCTACAGCAGCAAAAACATGCATGCTTTAAATACATGATTCAGGGTGGGGTGAGTTAACAAGTGTATATCATAGAGCTCGAGAGATGGCAGGGTGTGATATAGGGCTTTACACTTGCCTTTCTAAGAGAAAGCTCCACGTTAGTGTCAGCATTGAAATTGTATCGTGCTATGGCCTCTCCAATCTCTCGAACCTGAGCTGGAGGAGGAGGCCTGACAGGCTGAATCCGCTCTGGAGATGCGACCTTCTGAAGGAGAGAATGAGAGAGAAAGCCAGAGGGAATGTGATTAAGTGTGTGTCAGAGTTTGGTTTAACTACTGTAAATAGGTTATTTTAACACTGACCTCGACATAAGAGATGGGGAAAATCCCAATCCGTCCTCTGTGTTCCCCCTCATACCAGTTACTGTCAATTTGTCTGATGATGTTGACAGCATCACCTTTCTTAAAAGAGAGTTCCCTGCAATGTGCAGTAAACATGCATATGTGACCATAAACATGCATTACATACACAGTAAAAAGAACATTCAAACCAGTGACGCACCTGAATCTACCTTCTGTAGCGGTCACATTTCTACTTTTTCTACTGATGCAACCAGAGATGAAAATATTCACCAATAGTCCTGTACACTGTTGTAGCTTTTAAATCTTTATTAAATGTGACCCTGGACCATAAAACCAGTCATAAGGGTCAATTTTTTGAAATTGAGATTTATACACCATCTCAAAGCTGAATAAATAAGCTTTCCATTGATGTATGGTTCGTTATGATAGGATAATGTTTGGCCAAGATACAACTATTTGAAAATCTGGAATCGGAGGGTGCAAAAAAATCTAAATATTGAGAAAATCGCCTTTAAAGTTGTCCAAATAAAGTTCTTAGCAATGCATATTACTAATCAAAAATTAAGTTTTGATATATTTACAGTAGGGAATTTACTAAATATCTTTATGGAACATGATCTTTACTTAATATCCTAATGATTTTTGTCATAAAAGAAAAATTTATAATTTTGACACATTCAGTGTATTTTTGGCTATTGCTACAAATATACCCAAGCGACTTAAGACTGGTTTTGTGGTCCAGGGTCACAAATAAGAGCATTTTGGTCTAAGACCTTCTTCAGGCATTGCAAACACTTATTTATTAAATATTTGCTAATTACAACAATGCATTTTTCTAATGTATTACCCAATGAATTTGGTGATATGCAAATTTCAGGCTGAAATTCAAGGGCCTTGAAATTCTTTAATGGTTTTATTAGCATGGCTTTTCATGCAAGCTGACACTTTCATGCACCGACAGCTCACAGCTCAATTGCGATGCAGAGGCCAATTTGACTTAAAGCAAGTTCATACACAGATGCGCAAGAGCAAAAACTGCAACATAAGAAAATGCAAAACAATGAAAGAAAAAAAAAAGCTTTGAATGGCTAGACAAGAGTAAAATTAAACACTTTCACAAACAAAAAGCTGACACGGCACCTTGCAGATTCAAATTCAGTGAGATGCCGTGATGTTATTAGCATGCGCCAGACAGAGTCTCTCAGAGTTTTATATATACTCACTTGGCAGACTGAGCTTTAAAATCATAAATAGCCCTTGCAGACTGTTTCTGATGGAGGAGAGAAGACAATATAAGATAGGTCATCTGCTTAGAAGAGACCTACAAAGCAAGCAAAAACACCATCAGCTATCCAACATAAGCACAGCTGAGCCAAATATTCTGAGACCTTAACCAAAATGAAGGTTACAGGGTCATGGGTCATTTATGGCAGAGCGGAATAAGGATTCAGGATTTAAGATTGCTTTACACTTATTCACTACTCAATGATGTTTTCCCTGAGTGTTTCAAAACATTGTTCTAATTAAATCAAAACTAGTTCATGAAAAATAAATATGAGCAAAGCAGCATTTCTACCTCTCTCTCTGGCGTGGGTCTTCTGCTTTGTGGTGTGAGACGTCCTGTATCAGAGCCCTGATCTGTGGAAACAAATATGTCAAAGATGTCAACAGAAAGAAAACAATTGTGTTCATGGTGGCACCACATGCATTCCGCTGGTGTCAAAAGGAAAATGAGACAATTAAAAAATTTACAAATATTTATTTCAAATTTCAGGTCAAACACAAAATAAGGGATGATCCGGATATACACAGTATGACATAAAAATGGCATGCAATTGACATAAAAAGGACCCATATATATATCACAAAACACTGTATTTAATAAAAAATAACATCTAAAATACATAAAAAGAAAGCAAATGAGTGGCTTTATAACAGTATTTCATACATCAGCAAGTGAAAAAAAACAAAACAATGGCAAGGGCAAGGGCACAAAATCAAAAGGGAAAATTCAGCTCAGTAAAACACATCATGCATAAATACCAGACGGACACTAATTGCAACATGGACTGCTAATACTTCTTTTCCACACTTGTATCATTGCACATAAACAGCATGGAATGCAGTGATGAAACTGGCATAAAGAAAAACATCTCCCATGTACTCATAATTGGAGTTTTTGTGTTAGCATTAAAGTTAACTCTAAGCTCTATTAAATAAAAAAAAAACAAAAATCTGTTTTGAATATATATATATATATATATATATATTGAAAACAGATTTTTTTCCAATCAAATACTTTCCTGAATGAGAATATCCCAAACAAACTGTGTTGATTCCATCTTTATGTCTGGTTCAAACTTTCTGTTTCAATATATGAATATAGGACTCTAAATAGTAAGATCTCCCAAAGATCTAATACATTCAAGTAGGACACTAGGTGCCATGCTAATAAAGCATGCTGATTAGGTGGAAAAGAAGTGAAAGCGCTTGTATGTTTTCGCTAGGGAACGTTTGAGGTAATGACGTGAGGATTTTGCAATAACGATACAAAACAAAACAAAAACTCTAGAGAACTAATGTAGCTGCACCTGAATAGCAGTGCACATTAGCATTAGCATTATGCTGGTTGTTGTTGGAGGCGTCTGCATGGTGGTGTTGCTGCTGGTAGGAGGCACATTGGTGGGCTCCATGATAAGGCTGGTGGACGTGGGGCGAGGAGGGTGAGCCGGACCCTCTCTGAGCTCGCAAGGAGGAGCTACGCTTGGGCACGTCTGGTATCAACTCCTCCAATAACCGCTGCAATATGCTATCATCTGGCATCCTTGCTGGTCCCTGCCCCCTTTCTGCCCTTATGTGGTCATAAATGTCCTGCAAAGCGGCATCTAAAGCTTCATAAATTGCAGTTTTGGATTTCGGCCGACCGCTTCTGCAATGTCGTCGTTGGGTCTCCATACCTGGAGAGCTCATACAGGAGGAGAGTGACTCACTAGCGTCTCCAGCTGTGAATTAAAATAACATCCAACGCAGCATGGCAAAGAGGAGACAGGAAAGCTGGTTAGTGAGCTCAGCTGACAGAAAATGACAATGCGAGAGAAAACAGGTATCAGTAAAAGCGACAGAAAGTCAGAATGTGTCAGTAAATTTATAACAGAAAGGGGACAACATGCAGACTCACATAATTATGATCTTATATAAAAATGTTAACATTTTGCTAGGAGTAAGTCTAACCACAAATGTGACCATCTAATGAAGGAACAAGAGAAGTGAGTTGTTTCGGTTTCTGGCACAAATCAAACAATATATACAGATAGAATGGTGACAGAACAAATCCATCAAACAGTTCCTCTGCACAGAATAATGCAGCACTAATGTAATATGCCATTAGGCATTGATGCATAATCAAAACGTCTTCAGCAACATTTGACCAGTCTAACACCTTCTGTTAGCATTTGTAGTTGTGTGACTGTGTCTGAAATTACCTTTGGGTCTGGATGGTGAGGAGGGGGAGGAACGTATGGTGGGCTTCTTCAGTGTCTGTGCTTTATTGGAGTCCAGTGGGTGGGAAAATACTTGACTGGCATTCTGCTCACTTCCTGTTTTGGCTTGAGTGACAGATGGTTCCGACTTTCGCCTTTTCTTGTAGTCACTTGCAGTACTAAGAATCCCCAAAAAATAATAAAATAACCAAAGCAAAACATTATTGACTTTGAAGTTCTATAAAATTACTGAATAAATTGATAGAACATTAACTTTAACCTTAATTAATGATAGAACATTAATTAACTATTAACTTTATATTTGCAAACAAGATTACAACAAAATAATTTCTTTAACAACATTTTATGCCTAAAAATACACAATTAAGGGAATAGCTATGCAATTGTAATGCTTTTGTAAAAAACAGTGTACAATACAAATAACTAAGCCGTTTATGCCATTTTGGAAAATGGAAACAGCACCCAGGATGGCTTAGCTAGTGGACAATATACTCTGGTACATATACTGACCATGACACTCTGATTGCAGGGTCTTCTACACATTAAACAGTCCTAAATAAGGTTTGTCATATCCTTTACTCTATAGATTCCATATGAATAGCAAGTGGCATTAAGCTAAAGATGATCTGAGAGGAGTAGGAGGTACATACAACGCTTAATACTCAAGTATGGGATGTCAAATTCATATACACACAGTGACAAAAATAAACGCTGGCAGAGCTTTTAAAACATGAGTAAATTACAATTAGACTGAGGATGCTCAGGTTCTATCCTCCAATGGATATCCAATAGGCATCTCTCTGGGAAATTAAAGAGCCTGAGTGAGAAAAGCTGGTATAAGAATGAAAGGGAAGCTTACCTTGAAGGCCCGTCAGGTCGTTCCGAAGGCGAGAGATAGAGGGATGACTGAAAGAAAGCAGACAACAAAAGAGAAGAGTGAGAACCATGGGAACAAAGAAGTGTAACACTCCCGTGCTGCGCCACAATCAAAACCTTCCCCCCCCCTGCATGCACAGCCGTGTCCGACGAGGGTTCCACATCTCTCAATCCCACCTTGAAGGATTATGTAAATGAACTTTGACCTCCTGCGAGAATAAAAAAAGGGCCGGGGTCCCACATTAAGCAGACCCCAACAAAAGCCAGTGAACAAAACAGTACAGATCCAGAAAAGCTGCATGTGGCACCAGGTCACAAGAAGCCCCGTCTATTATGTTGTCCAAGATCTCCACGCCTCCTTTCCTTTCCTTTGACACAGCCTGGGGTGAATTACAACAAATCTGAGCACAATACAGCAGTCTCTGGTGTTCATTCTGGCTTATTCATGCGACTTGGATCAGGGACAAGAAAGAAAAACAATTACTGACAACACAGCATTTTTAACACACCAAAGCTGAACCTAGGTCAGATAGGAAGACAAATAAAAAGCCAATCCACAGACACAGGAAAAGTGCAGAAAACTCACAACACAAACATGCACATGAACACATTCATTCAAAAACATAAACAGCAGAGGAAGAAAACCTGACAGTAAAATGAAATATACAAAAGAACATTCAAAAAAGCAGTTACAAAAAGCCCAAAATGCATATGTGGGTGTTCAATATTTTGTTATATTTTTCAGTAATATATTCATCTGACACTCCAGGAAAGCCTCAAATAAAGTGACTTTTCTCATGTGAACTAATTGTTTCACATTTAGTTTTGTATTTGTTTTATTGAAAAGGCTGTTTGTATAGTTTACATAGCTCATAAATTACTAGTAAATCTGACAACTAATTACAAAGAAGGCAAGTAACACATTAAATTAAACATGACATTTTGAATTACAAACACCGAAGTAGTATTTACTTGTAAAACATTCTCAAATCATTTTTAACAGTGTGTGGGTCAAAATGTTTTCCATTCGCCATCTGGAAAATAAATGATGGGAGAGGAGAAAAAATGAAAGGAAAAGAGAAAGACGGAGATAGTAGATGATAAGTGAAAAGCAGAACAGCAAATTGCAGGATGAGCAAACACCAGCAAAGGAAGCATGGATTGATGGACAGGAAGGTAGATTTACCTGTGCCACAGCATGTGTGGAGTAGTCAGGATTATAATCCAACCTCTTTTTAGGAGGCTGGATGCCCCGCCACCCGAACAAACAAACGAACAGCATAGAGGTGAAGATGAGGTGGAGAAGCAGGTGCATCATGGGGAAAAAGACACATGTGGAGAAAGTGACAACGTTAGGGCATGGAGAAACAGAGATCACACAAAACACACACAGTGTACACACAAACAAAGGGTGAATACTAGTGAATCTTAGTGTGTTGAGAGTAATCGTCTACACAAGTGCCCACACATGCTTCACCTACCTTACACACACTGCCACTTGTGTGTACATACTGTACAATACACACAACGGTGAAATTACATAGGGTTTCACACATATTTTGCTTGTTTACACATGGTGGCAGCAAACTCAACCAGTAAACAAGCAAGGAAGAGTGTGTTCTATAGGAGCTGGAGGACTTGTGCATAAATATCTTATTTATGAACATACAGTGGCCTCCAGAACATATGGACATGTTTATGAATTTTAATGCATTAGATAAAATAAAATAATAAAAAATTCAAACTTTGGAACAAGTTACACTCCTATTTACGCAATCATTTTTGCAATTACATTTGCAACTGGTCCCAATGTCATTTTAGTTCATGTACAACATTGAGAAGTCTGGGGTTATTAAGATATTAACACAATGCTAAATGCTAAAGGAAGCAGGAACGGGATGAGAATCTGGTGGCAAGTTATCAGCATTGATCTTTCTTCTATATATATTAACAATTTTTGTACTTTTTCATTTTACTGCCTCCCTATGAATCACTTACACTACTATTCAAGTTTGGGGTCAGTAAGATTTTTTTTTTCTTCATAATGTTACAAAATAATATTGCTGCTTTTATTGTATTTTTGATCAAATAAATGCAGCCTTGGTGAGTTTAAGAGACTTTGAAAGGTAGTGTATGATGAGTATTCACAACATAAATCACCACAGATATTGACGATGATGCACCTCCATCAAAATTAAGATTAGTTCTCATAAATCTTTGTGAATTTTTCAATTAACTATTCTTTTACCTTTGGTCACACAATCATGAATATCTGGTTACATCCTAGTAGTAGAATACATGCTCAACTAAGTTTGACAACCAGAAAGTTCTACATGCTTTTTATAATTTTGTGCAGTTTATCTATTGTTTCAGCATTTAGAACTTCTTAAAGTGAAATTATTCAGCTTGAAAAGTGCAAAGTTTATATGTTGGTGTATAGATTAAATATCAAAACAGGACCACTGTATTATCCAACATCTGTTCATTTTTAATAAAAAGAGTTAAACTTGACTTAATAGTGTTTTCTGCACAGGTTCTGCAGCTATAAGAGCTGTAAGCTGTAAGAGCAGGTGTGTGATACTGCAAACAGAGCCAAAGCAAAAACACAGTGTTACACACTAAAAGTTAAAACTTATTAAAAACCACTGCTATTCTTCTAAAGACAACATTGTACCCCATAATACTTGCTCTTTCGGTGAGTATCTTGAAAACAGAGCATGATTGTTTACTTGAAATATTAGCCTTGGGATTTAACATCAGACATATCATATGTGTCTGATGTCTTACACACTGCCTCTAACATTATTATTGTGCAGACTGTTATTGTGGTGATGTTAAATGTCATATTTCTGTTTTCAGTGTGCAAATTACACCAAGTTCTGAACAAGTCAGAACTTGAATTCAAAAACCACACACACACACACACACACACACACGAACAGATGCTTGTCATTACACAACAGCATGTGTTTACCGGACAAGGAGATTACAGCCTACAGCATGCCAACCTGCCGCACTCTCACTCAACTTACCGGCCGTCCAAACTCCAACTCGGAAAAGAATTTAAACCAAGGCTCATTCTCTAAATCTATGTCATCTGGGTTTAAATCAAATGTCTGGGGCAAGAAGCAACATAGAAAAAGAGAGGTAAGAAGAAGAGGAAAAACAATGAGAGGAAAACAGAGATGAAAATCAGGGTTAGGAGGACCAAAATATGCTGTAAGGACTGGTGAGCAAAGAACAGAGGAGGATAAAATTTGGGTCATCAACACATTCTCACTCACACACATATTACACATATCACACACATACATATTTGACAATATGTAATGTCAAATTAATAAAACTAAAGACATAATCCACCCAAAAATTAAAATTCTGTCATAATTTGCTCAACCTCATATTATTCAAAGCCTGTATGACTTTCTGTCTTCTGCTGAACACAAAAGAAGATATTTTGAAAAACATATTTGTTCCCATTGACTTGCATTGTATGGGGAAAAAAAGAAAGAAGATATATTGAAGAATGTTGGAAACCAAACAGTTTCGGGTCCAATTTTGTTTTGCGTTCAGCAGAAGAAAGAAATTCATACAGGTTTGAAATGACATGAGGGTGATTCTCACCCTGCATCCCAATGTTCATACTATCCATCCTAAATAGCATGTGAGATTAAATTAGTGTGTCCCAAAGCATAGTATGTTGAAAAGAGTATGCCAAAAGTCCCCGGATAGTCTACTATTTCAGGTCGATTTTTGAAGTGTGGATCCGTGCACACTCTAATGGCTAATAATACCCACAATCCAATGCGCTTTGACGAATGATTCGGTTGAGAACTACAAAAACTACAAAAAGCGTTTAAAAAACTACAGACATGGCGGATGCGCCCGACCAACGGTTAAGTAGAGAGGTTGTTATAAAGGGGTTTGAGTTACTAATAATCAACATTTAACCTGGTAAAATAATGTTTATTTAATCTTATCTATATTATATTTCATCTGCAACAGCAGTGTAAACTTTTATAAACATCCGTTTGGTCGTTAACTTTTAAATACATCATTATGCAGAAAACATGAGCAGAGTTCTCTGCATAAAGACCCGCGGCTGGCAGATCAACGTGCTACTTCTTTTCTCTCCGATATGGTAGGAAGTTAAATGAAATGAAATGTGGATGTTAACTGTGACAAGATGATTGACAGGCCAGTTTACAGTGACAGGATGCGTGTAATTATGCGACAGAGCGGACAGTTAAAGATGCAATTGTATGACGTGATAGTATGTCGCAAAGCTTGCATACTCTTCTACTGCACACTCAAAAGTGTATACTTTTTCTTCACCAAAAAAGTACATACTTTAAGGGCGTAGTATAAGTAGGCACATTGGGACGCAGCATCAGTTTCATTTTTGGGTGGACTGTCCCTTTAATATGTGTTGTGCCTCTCAGTACTGTCCAAAAGGGGGAGACATCATGCTTCTTCCTCTCTGCTCTCTCTCTAAAATCTCTTTTTTTCTCTTCCTTAAGCTATGACTATACATGCTGAGAAAGCTGCCCACTCATTTTGCCACCTGGGACATCTCCCACTGCCACATCCACTGTGTTTGTGCTGAGGGCAGTGCTGTGATTCAGCCTCCTGACATTTCTATCTCATTGTTCTGTGAACCGAGCCGCTGGCTACGACTGCGCCGCTTTGTCTGACACCCTTCCAGCTTTCTACATCTACATTGCAAAACAAAAGTTCAATTGCTGTCAAAGGAGACATAAAACACTGAGGTAATTCCTCTCTTGAGCCATTTTATTTGTCTCGCCTTAGACAAATACAGTAGAATGTGACATTATTAAGGGGAGAATGGGACATACTGTATTGCAAAATTTAAATCTGCATTGTCCCCTTCATGAATAACACAGCTTAATGTTTCAGGCGAACCTAATAATTGATTGCTTTTAGTACAAAGATTTGACCTACTACATGAACAGATACACAAAGGAAAAGAAAGCTTGCTGAAGCACCACATTGCTTACAATAAGCAAACTCATGGCTGATGGTCCATTATTTGGTCAAACGATCCATGAAACAGAGGGAAAACACAGCCTTAACACATGTCCAATCAGCAGGCTGGAAAACTGCAGTTTGACACTGTAGTAAACAGTAAGTTGGGAATGCGACACCTTCATAAAGTAGAACTCAAATGGTTGTAGGCTACAATGAAATAGAGAGTTTTCATAAGACAGGATTGCCGTTCAAAAAGATTTTTTTAAAGACAGTTAAAACAATAATATTGTAAAATAGTATTAAAATATAAAGTAACTGTTTTCTATTGTAAAATATTTGAAAATGTAATTTATTCCTTTGATGGCAAAGCTGAATTCTCAGTCTTTAGTGTCACATGATCTTCAGAAATTATTCTAATATGCTGATTTGGTGCTCAAGAAACATTTATTCGTATTATTAATGTTTAACAGTTGCTGCTTCATATTTTTGGGAAAACCATGATTCATTTTTTTCAGGATTTTTTGATGAATAGAAAGTTCAAAAGAACAGCATGTATTTGAACAGAAACCTTTGTAACATTTTAAATTGCTTTACTGTCATTTTTTATCAATTTAATGCATCCTTGCTGAATAAAAGTACTACTTTGTTTTTAAAAAATCTGACAGACACAGACTTTTGAATGGACATACATATGAGAGAAACCTTTTTTTTCATGGATGAAACATAAAACATGTTTAGAAGAACATTTAGGTTGTTCTTTTCAATACAATGAAATAAATGGATTCTGTATAGCTTCAAAAAACGAAATTGTCACCATAAAAGTATTATAAAAGTGGTGCATATGATGTGTGCACTATTCCATTCAATTGTTTTGAGGCCAAATGATAGCTTTGTCGGAGGAATAAACCCAACTTTGTCATTATTTGCTGAAAATATGGTCAGAAATGAATGACATCAGTGACTAACATATGTGAACCAGAAACATCGTCATAAAAACCTGGTGTGACACGTGATAGTTGAAGGTACATGTTTGTGTTCCACAGAAAAAAAAAGAAAATCATACAGGCTTGGTAGGTGAGTAAGTAGTGACAGAATGTTTGGGGACTTCTTTAAAACTTTTTACGTTTTCTGGGACACAAATGTGGATTTACATAGAGCTAAAAAAGATTTTCAAAAATCAAGTCTCTGCTAACAGAGCCATTTAATGGGTCTAATCTGCGTGGGGGACGTACCATGTACTGTATGTTTGATTTTGTGATTAAAGAGACTGTAACAGCACTGAATTACTTGTGGAGAACACAAGAACAGGATTGCCTTCAGACCTTAGCAACCTTGAGTCCATGTTATGTGAGGATTTTTACAACAGTTTAAATGAAACTGATGAAAAACAATCACTTATGTATAATGATTTAACTAAATAAGATCACTCACCGGCCTTTCTTGCTCAAGGATGGAGGATTTGCCAGGCTCATACTCAAAGATGCTCCGTGGTTCTGCCCGGTATTTACGCGTATCCACTTTTCGATCTGGAGGACCCCACTCATTTCTGCAGATGAGAATAAGAACCAATCAGAGCGGTCGACACCTTTGGAGACTGTACACTGACAAAAATCTGGTGTAGGATTTACTTTGAAACAATTTTCACTCAGAAATTGCTAGTCAATTTCTAGCAATTGATTACAAAGAAACGGCAAGTGACACATTGAATTAAACTAAGAGTATTTTCTTGTAATTGCACTCCAATAATCTTTGTTTTATTCACAATTTTGTTTTATTTACAGTGTAGCACATGAGGTCAGGTGTCTTACGGGTTGTGTGAGAACTCTTTCTCTCTGTCCATGTCTCTTGAGCGGAGCTGGAGGAGAGAGGGCATGGGAGGGGGCGGAGGGGGCACGGGGGATGGTGAGAGCTCCCGGTGGGCGGCACTGTCTGGCGTGTCTGAGGTATTTCTAGAGAGAGGCCGGTAGGTGTGCGTTCGAGGGGGCGGGTGGGCATGGACAGGAGGGTGATTATCTAAGAAAGAAGCACACATATCATAGTAATAAATTACTTAAAAAAAATAATAACTGTCTTTCTCTTTATTTATTTCTTCCCTTTCTAGCTTGTACTTATTTGAACAATGCCTAAAACTTGGTATTACAAGCACTTCCTGTGTCTGTTTGCCTCTTTAAGAAGAATCACTTTATGTATTCCCCAATTGTAAGTCGCTTTGGATAAAAGCGTCTGCAAAATGACTAAATGTAAATGTAATATAACAGATAAATTAAACAAATGTACGGTGGCTATACATATTTGGACATTACAGCAAAACATAAAACATTTGAATGTACACTACCTTTTATAAGATTTTTTAAACTGTCTTTTTACAAAGTTTTTGAATCGTCTTTTATGCTCACCAAGGCTGCATTTATTTAATCAAAAGTACAGTAAAAACAGTAATATTGTGAAATAGTATTATCATTTTAAAGAACTGGTTAGTATTTGAATATATTTTGAAATGTAGTTTATTCCTGTGATGGTAAAGCTGAATTTTCAGCATGATAACTCCAGTCTTCAGTGTCACATGATCCTTCAGGAATAATTCTAATATGCTGAATTGTGCTCAAGCAACATTTCTTCTTATTATCAATGTTGTGCTATAACAGTTCAGGATTCTTTGATGAATAGAAAGTTCAATAGAAGAGCAATTATTTGAAATAACACTAAAAGCAATCTTTTGTAACATTATAAATGTCTTTACTGACTATTTATGCTATATAAATGAATTCAATTATATCAAAAGAAAAATCTTATTGACCTCACAATTTTAAATGGTAGTTTATATGACAAATTCTTAAAATTTTTTTTAAAATTATTTTAAAGAAACATCACTTCTCCCTTAAAGTAAATATCATAGTCAAATATCATAATAAAACCATTGTTTAAAATCAAGACAAACAATATTTGGACATTTTCAAGATGTCAGCTCTTTAGTTTATTTTTTTAAAACATGATTTTTAACTCAAATCAATGTTTCATGCATATTATTTGTTTATTTGCTATAGAATATAACCATTTTTATTGTACATTTTATTACAGTTACTATATGCTAAAAACACTTCTTACAACGCAAAAACACAGAATTCAGACTTTCACTACACACATAGTGTTAGATTTTAAGTAAGCAGAAATGTAAGTTAATATCAGATCTTTAGATTTCACAGAACTTACCGTTGTTTATGACAGCGTATGTTGCATTATATGTGTCTGCATAGTCATCATCTGGTGAAAACAGCATTTAAAAAAAATAAAAATGGAAAACTCTGTGTGAGATTAAAACACACACGAAATGAACACTACAGGATATGTTCTGTGTATCCTCCTACTCACTCCATAATACACACCTGCTTTATGAACCATGTGGATCTGTTTGAACATGGTCTTGTACCAGTCCTTGGGTCTGTCCACGGTCTAAATAGAAGCACAAACACACACACAGAAGTGGTTGCCTTGTCAGTTTGCTGGTTAAGCGCACAAACAGCTAACAGCATATGTCATTTCTGACAACCAACACAATCACTACAGAGCACAGAGAGAAAAACAGACAGGGAGTACCATAGTAACCTGCCAGGTATGTTCTCTTCTGCTCACAAACACACACATTCACAGATCGTCTGAAGCGCTGAGAGCTCAAAAGCATTCCTCTAACCACAATAAGAGGATCAAATGTCAGAACAACTCAAACACAGACCAAGAAAAAAATGCCCTCAAAAGAGATTAACAGCTGATCTGCTGTTTTAAAACTGACCAGTGACAGTCAGACAGCTAGATGTCATACTGTTTAAAAAGAATGAGTGATGGGTTTTGTTCTGTTACGCTGATGCACCGTGATAGGTAATACAATATCACGTAAATCTCAGGTTTTGTACTAACCATTCGCAACCACAAAAAGTGGCAGAACATTCTGTCAGTCCTTTTTGGTTTCTATTTCTGTGCCATTGTGGTGTATCGCGTCATCAACTCAAAATCTCATTGGATTAAAACACTGCTTCATAAAAGTAACTTTATATAAACAGTAAGTTACAATAAACAGGAGTTAATACTAAGTAACTTTTAGACACAATAATGGCAATTACTTTGTGTATTTTGCCAACAAAAATAGCTCCAAATGAAATCAAAACCACTCGCGTTGCTTTCATGATTCAATAATGAGTACGTTTACATGGACAACAATAATCCGATAATAACATGATTAAGACAATACTCTGATTAAGAATCTACCATGTAAACAGAGATTTTTGATTAACGTTACCTTAATCCGGCTAAAGTCATACTCGAAGTGAACACAAATCGAATTAAGACATGTGGAGTATTCCTATTTTAGCTGCATTATTGAAGTGCAGTCTAGACATGTACACACCTTAATCACACTATTACCGTCCTGTAGGACTTTTTGCCGCATTTTGCGACAGGATACACACACGACAGTGGTCAACCGTTTGACGGCAAACAAAAGAGCATGGCTTCAAGCAAGGCGGCACTTTTTATCCGTCGTCGTCTGTTTGCATGTATAGCATGACATATAATTAACTGCACTTGAAGCTATCGTAAAATTAAAAATGAAACACCCAAAACTGTTTAGTAATGAAGACGAACTATGTGTTGACACGTGAAATTCTGGAGGGAACGTCGGATGGCGTCACGTGGAAACGTAATGACGTGTACCATAAATCGATCTATGTACTATAACATGTAAAACGGGAACTTGAAAGGAATATTCTAAAAGGAACTCATGTAAACACCTTAATCCTAATATTGTTTTATTCCGAATAAGGTAAATAATCAGATTACTGATGTCCATGTAAACGTACTCACTGACTCACTCCTAAAGACAACATACTGGCTTAAGGATGTAACTCGCAGACTGTCAGTTTGTCTGAACATGAAACAAGTGCTGTTGGACTAAAATAATACAATTCGAAATCCAGATCAAACAGTAAACTTAGCTGATTATTAGTTATGATTAATTATTCATATTTCCCCATGAATGAGCTGATTCGCTACAAATATAACAGTCATAACCTAAGACAAAAAAAAATCACTATATGCTTTGTAAAGTCATAGAGACACCAGTAATGACAACTGTGTCTAAATTGTGGTATATATAATCAACTCTCAAGTTTGCTACAATGAAACATAGCTAGCATATAACAAATCAGAAGCAAAATACACAGAAAAAAGGCACATGATTTTCTTTTAAACAATTTTCACTCTGAAATTGCTAGTAAATGTCACATATAATTACAAAAAACAGCAAGTAACATTGAATCAAGCATGCAATTTGTAAATAGAAAGACTAAAAATAGCATTTTCTTGTAAAACATACTTAAGTCATTTTTTATTTTATTTAAAACTAAGAAAAATCATTTTTATAGTTGTTTTTAATTTCTGTCATTTTTGTCAGTTCCCTTAAAAATGCCTGGATATCACTCACCGTTCGGATGGCGATGGGAATGCCTGACTCATCCACTGGTCCAATGCCTTCGTAATGGGGCGCTTTTATGACGGACACCTTCTTCTCTTCCTCTGAGAAACGAGCGATGGGCACAGAGCTACTGACCACTGTCTCACCAGAGACAACAGTCTCTTTCTTCACCGTCTCTGAACCCTCTAAGTGAGAGAGTGAGAGAAAGGTTGGCGACGATTAAAAAAAAAGACTAAAACAATGGCTGTGTAATTTTTTCTGTCCTTTACAATTGATTCTTGTCAAATTGTGACCCCAGTAACAGTCTCTCTCTCTGTCACTCTCCCTCACACACGTCATTGATTACTGTGCCGCCCTTGGCTCTTCATTAGACTGCTGCCATAGATATGGTCACACTGCAGGACTTAAATGTTGTTACTGTTAGGACTTCATCGGACGCTAAGATTCATCATAAAGGCAATTAATTGGCCGTCCATGAGCACTGACATGGCACAAGCTCTCACCCTGACTAAGCATCCTGAATATGAAATTTGTGTGACACAGCATAAATGAGACAGCTACATTTATTCCTTCACATCTATGCAGGTTTGCAGTAGCAAAAAGGCAATGACATGAGGAAACACTACAGCAAATTATTTGTCAGCAACTTTCTTTAAACTACTACAAAAATGAAATGAATTTGCCTTCCTAAGCAAATCCCTACCAAAGGGTCAGATCTTTGCCTCTCCTCAGTTTCCCTCTGTTCAGGTATTGATTGCTCTGGTCTGGCCTAATGGATGCAAATGCATCATATCCTGAGGACCGGACTGCACCGTTAACTGCCAATACAGGCATCCACTAACAAGAATTGTGCATTACAAATCCATTATTTCAGAGCACCAAAACTAGGACTCAATCAATAGAAGGACAAAAAAAAAACATTATTATAACAAAAATGAAGGAAAGTCTACATTTGCTGCATCTCAATATGCCTACTTCCATACTACGTAGTATGTGAAAAACAGTATGCTAAGAGAGTAGAATGTCAGAATTCACAGCATTCTAAAAATAGCAGACAAAAACTACCCAGATGACCGACTGCTTCCGGTGAGACTTTGGAGTGCACATTTGATGGACACTTTACTATCTCATAAAGCTACACGAGAGGAGTTGTGAATGGAAGTTAAGCATCATAAATGACACTCGAAGGTCATGTGACAATGACAACATGGCAGACGTAGTACATCCGAATTTCATTTATACTACCCATTTTCATTCTATATAGAACATGCTTTTTTAACTGCCGTGAAGTAAGTTTCAAACAAAAGGTAGTACAGTACTTGTCAAAAAATTGGAAACATTATGATTTTCAATTGTTTTAATGAGTTCAAATTATGCAGAAACCACAATATACTGACATTCAAATGTTTGGGATGTGTGTGTGTGTGTTTTGTAATAGAAATTAATGCTTTTATTCAGCAAATATGCATTAAATTGATCAAAAGTGACAGTAAAAACATTTATAATGTTACAAAAGATTATATTTCAAATAAATACTGTTCTTTTTCGATTCCTCAAAAAAAAAAAAAAAAAAACTAGAATATTTTTTTTCCCACAAAACATTAAGCAATCGAGCAGTTAATCAGCAAATTTAATGGATTTCTGAAGACTGGAGTAATGATGTTGAAAATTCAGCTTTGCATCACAGGAATAAATTATATTTTAAAAAACATTCAACTACAAAATAGTTATTTCAAATTGTAATATTTCACAATATTACAGTTTTTACTGCATTTTTGATTAAATAAATGCAGCCTTGATGAGCATAAGAGAGTTCATTAAAACATTTTAAAATCATAATATTTCCATTCCAAACTTTTGACAAGTACTGTATCTACTAGACTATGTGTAATATGTACTGCTATTTAAAGTGCACGACGAAGGAGTATAATCCAAAAAAAGAATCTTTTAATTATAAATCTACAAGGAATACACACAGGAGAATCGCAGGAGCAAACGTAGCACACACAATGGAAAAGAAAAAATAACCCGCAACAACTGAATAGAACAGGGAGTATAAATAAGGAGACTGAATAAGCAACATTTTGCCGATAGTAAAAACTCTGCTTTGTAATACTAGCCATGGGTGTGTGTGGGACTCTCCACTCACCCGAACTACGATCCTGCAGGATCTTTACCAGTCCTGGGCTGAGGGTTGGGGGTGGAGGTGGGTAAACAGGTGGAGAAAAGGGCCTCTGAGATTGAGAGCTTCCATTCATTGCCATCTGACCCTGGGCAACAAACAAAACAGTTTATAAGTGATGGAAATATGGGCAATGTAATTTGTAGAGTCACTTTAGGTCAAACAAGTATCAGTGGGTGACAGCTATGGGACAATAAGAAGTTAGAAGAATGAGAAATGTAAGACATGAGAGTACACATCAAAAGACAAATTTGAAAATATCACAGATACTGTACAACAAATGCATCTGAGTAATGTCATTACTGAGGAAAATGCTGTTACAAAAAAAGACAAAGGTTGTGATCAGACGTTGGTGCTTCTGTAGTAAAATGAGAGGAATGATGGACGACAAATGGAAAACTGAAAAACTGTTAGACCACATGACAACAAACACTTTAAAAGAACCTTTAGTAGATAATGAGTGCAGGACAATCTATGTAAGAAAGAGTGTTAACACTGGAATATGGTTCCATTATACATTCATATTCCAAAGAAGTTCAAGTCTTCAGTCCCCAGAGGCAATATAAAGATGCACATGTTAATCTCAAACACACAACATAATAGGTCACAAGGAAAATCCTAGATCATCATAGAAACCTTAAAGCCCACATGAAATTAAAATGAACCCTATTTCGATTCCAAGTGAACATGAAATTAAAATGGCCTTTTTTCAAACACATTCCTGGACATTACTCCAAAGAAATGTGTATAATCTTATATATATATATACAGGGACGGATTAACGCACGGGCCTACCGGGCACATGCCCAGGGCACTAGACCAGAGGGGGGCCCAGTCGAAATACTGCTCCTTCAGGAATGCGATTTCAACCGTGCCCCCTCAGGATTTTAAGCAAAGTGGATTTTGAATGCAGCTTCCAAAAGACCAAAAATGGCTGAATAATATATATTTTTATATTTGATACGATTAGAACGTTCAGTGCGGCAAAGCATCAGCTGCCAAATTCAAATCTGCGTTCGTGCTTTGGCTGGCGCTGAGCCAGACGCGTTTTTACAGTGCTGCGCATTATAACCAATCACACAGGATTCTGTTGAGCTTATGAATGCAATGGCCAATCAGAGGCATTCAGATGAGTCATCGCTGAAAAGCCCGTGTTTTGTTCAGTGCACGCACTCGCTGACTGAATGCAGCTCTCTGGCGAATTCGCTCATCATAAACAAAGCGCAGATGTGTGTACGATGTCAGATATTCATTTCACAGTATAAACAGCTTCAGTGATTATATTAAATACAAAGTCAGTCGTATTAAAAATATTCTATGACATGACACCCATATCTAGTACAAGTTAAAAGACGGGTTTTATGCATAGGCTAGTTAATAGATTACACTAATATTAGGCTACTTTTCCCATAGCCCATTATAAATGTATTTACTTATATTTGAGAATCGTGATATTTTATGATATAGTTAACAAGTTTGGGAAAGTTTCGAATAAAAAAGGAACGAAATTTCAACCGAGGGGGGTCTTTAATCGGTCCATGCCCAGGGCACCGTTGAGTCATAATCCGTCCCTATATATATATTTAGAGTTCATTTGTGAACTAGCACAAAAATACACATATATACAGTACATATTTATACACACATATATATATATATATATACACATATATACACATACACAAATGTGTTTTTAGAAAAAAATAAATTAATACTTTTATTTAGCAAGGATGCATAATTTGATCAAAAAGTTACAGTAGAGATATTTATATTGCTAAAAATATTTATATTAATTTCAAATAGAAATCTTTTTTAAAATCTCTGTTATTTGAACTTTCTATTGATCAAAACAAAATAATATTAAGCAGCATAACTGTTTTCAACATTGATATTTATAAGAAACAAATCAGCATATTAGAATGATTTCTGAAGGATCATGTGACACTGAAGACTTGTAATCACAGGAATAAATTACATTATTAAAATGTATTAAAATAGAAAACAATAACTGTAATAGTTATTGTTACAATAACATTAGTTACAATAACATTCACAATATTACTTATTGTTGTTGACTATTTTTGATCTAATAAATGCAGCCTTGCTTGTAAGGATCTTATTTTTAAAACACCAAAGATCTTACTGACTCATAACTTTAGAACAGTAGTGAACATTTATATATTAATAAACATTACTGCAGTAATAGCAAATTACAATAGATTTTTACCATTGTATGCCATTTGTATATAGTAGTTTGAGATATCTACTTTATATAATATTTTTCATCTTCTTCCCCAACTTGCATTTAGGTCTGGCTCCATTATGGCATGGACTCTGACCCTTTTAATTCCAGATGGATAAAATCAGGTCACGTTCTACAGTTCTACATTATTTAACTTCACATTATGTGTGCATGTTGACTTTAAACGGGAAACAACATACATAGCACACAATGGAAAGCTGCATAGAACAGAGTGAAAATCAAGCATAAAACACAAAAGACAAAGCAGCCACCTGCTGTAAGCTGACGCATTAAAGCATGTGACTCAAAGTTAGACATTCAACAGCGCTGAAAAACTAGTGAGGACATACAAACAAGAGTAGAGTCAAACAAACGTGACACCAGACTGAGGTGAGGTGCGCCAGTCGAGCGTGATAGTTACGTTAGTGCCCGTGGCAGCTGACGGGGCAGTAGGAAGCTCGTCAGGGGTATTGGAGGCGTGGCTGAGTGTGGGGGATGGGGTGGGCGTGGCCGCAGGGGAGGAGTCCATGCCACAGATCTGCAGCTCCTCCAGCCCAGCCGTGGATGATGAATAATGACTCAGCGCCGACACAGTTACTGGTGACAGAGCAGGTGAGGCCGACATTAGCCCGGAACGTTCCAGAGGGGCATAGGGTGTCGGTGAGAGGGCTCTGGGCAATAGGCCTGAAAGGAAGTCAGGGGAATCCTGACTGGCCCGGCTATACGGTGACCGGTGAGCTGATGGGTCTGGGGAAGGCGGTCCAGAAGAGAGCGGCCCGATGCTCCCTCTTACAGGGGAAAACTCACGCTGATGGAGGCAGGTGGGAGGGAATAAAAGGGAAGGAAGACTAGATATTAAAGTGAACACAAAACAAAGCAGGTGAGCACAGGCAGATTGAACCATGTTGAGTGAAGAAGAACAGGTGAATCTGTGGGAAGGAATAAAAGGTACTTGGCTGGAAAAATGAAAGAAAATAGTAATTAGCAGTAAACACACACGCTCTTTCATCAAGACATCTGTGTACATTCACTCTATTCCATCAGATGAGGGTGAATGAGTGCTAAATGGGTTACACTCAGTTTAAGAAAGAGAGATACAAAAATTTCCAAAAGTTCACCAAGGCTGCATTTATTTGATGAGAAAAACAGTTTAAAAAATTGAATTAAATTGAAAAGAACTGTTTTATATTTTAATTTTCAGAAGCCATTAACATAATATAATATGCTGATTTGGTGCTCAAGAAACAATTCTTATTATTATCTAGCACACCTTCCTAAGGAAAGGATATGGACCAGAAGACATTGCAATTACTAAATGATATTTAGACAGACTTAAAGAAGTTCCAGATCTATACTTGTGCTCTTATTATTTCAGTTATTTTGCCTTTAATGTAAATAAACATGTGCAAACAATGCACTTGCTCTTGTGAATTTATTTTGGTGTTAATTACATTGTGCCAGCTGTCTCTTTAATACCGCGTGGTTTATATACATGTTGCTGCTGATTGGGCTGACATTTTTGACACATCCACCAAACAAGAGAAAACGTATCTCAAACCCCCGTTGCACATCGTTGCACATCGTTGCACACCGTTTCCAGGAAACATGTCATTGAAAACGGAAACCATAGCAAAACGTTGCGCACCGGTTTGAGCTTGAACTTGCCCCAGGGTTCTCCAACCCTGCTTCAACACACCTATCTGTAATTAAGTAGCCCTGAACACCTTGATTAGCTGGTTCAGGTGTGTTTGATTAGGGTTGAAGCTGAACTCTGCAGTATTTTAGCTCTCCAGGAGCAGGGATAGAGACCCCTGTTAAAGGGTGTTTCTCAAACAGAAAGCTGCATCACTCTATTCCATCAGATGAGGGTGAATGAGTGCTAAATGGGTTACACTCAGTTTAAGAAAGAGAGATACAAAAATTTCCAAAAGTTCACCAAGGCTGCATTTATTTGATGAGAAAAACAGTTTAAAAAATTGAATTAAATTGAAAAGAACTGTTTTATATTTTAATTTTCAGAAGCCATTAACATAATATAATATGCTGATTTGGTGCTCAAGAAACAATTCTTATTATTATCAGTGTTGATAACAGTGAGTGCTGCTTAATATTTTTTGTGTAAACCATGATATATATTATTCCAAAGTTTGGGATAAGTAATAAAAGTACAAATAAAAACCTTCAATGTTTTAAACATTGATAATAGCAAGAACCATTATTAATAATTGGGTACCAATAATAATTGATAAATATAGCTGCAAGCAGCAATTAAGTGGCCAAGCACAACAGAGGTAAAATAAAGAGCTAAGGAGCTGTCTTTAATTACTCAGTAAAGACCAGGGCTGCGTTCAGCCCCGACAAAACGGTGCAAAACTTGGTTCAGGTGTGTTTGATTAGGGTTGAAGCTGAACTCTGCAGTATTTTAGCTCTCCAGGAGCAGGGATAGAGACCCCTGTTAAAGGGTGTTTCTCAAACAGAAAGCTGCATCCTACGAAGGCTGCATATCTCGGCTGCCACGTCATCAAACGTTGCAGAAGGCCATCTTAATCGGAAGGATCCTTGGAAGGCAGCCTTTGTTTCGCATCCTTCATTCAGCTGAATTTGAAGGATGCATTGGATGTATCCTCCGCGACATTCAATCACCCACAATCCTTTGTACTTATTCCATTTCATGAAAATAAACTGACGAAAAACAAGTCAGTACTGAGTTTGTCTGAATTTATTATGAAATGTAAGACAAAAATAATGTTTTCGGACATGAAAGGATAGATGTTATGTTTTGTTTTGGTGTAAATTACTTACTAAATGCTAAACTGCCAATAACTTAAGCCGCGGGGAGACTAGACGACTGTGATTCGTTGTATTGCATTAATAGAAAGCAAAATAATATAAAGATTTGTAATACAAAGTATTTTTCCAAAACAAAGTTTTATTAGCGTTTTTGTGCCGTGACGGTGAGGGCGGGAACATATCTGACGTAGCCACGCGCACTTACTAGACTGTCTCATTCTAGTGTTTAATGCCGAGGAGGACTCTAGCCTACAAGACTCTGAAGGACTGAGCTAGGAAGGACGCAGCCTCGGTAGGATGCAGCCTTCCATTTGAGAAGCATCCAAAGACATTTGTTGATACATAATTTTACTATAAAATTCAAAATGGCCGAAGCCCCAAAAGGGCGGCATAGGAAAAGTAGGTATAGTTCGATTTGGTATGCCGTTTCAAATCTAACGAGACCAATCTTATGATTTTTGGCTGAACTGGTCAAGTTATAAGCAGAAATGTCAATTTTTTATATCTTTGACCCGTAGGTGCTGCTGTGCCGAAACTACTCATGTGCCCTCAGGTCATGCTTGTCATAGCATTGCGGAGATATAGCCTTGCGTCTATTTTTGCACAAACTTTGTCTAATTCGTTAACGCTCTTTACGAAAACAGTTTGGTATATAAAAAAAGCTTTTGATAGTTTTTTACCAGAATGCTCTGAAGATGATCTGAGCGAATTTTGGTGAAAATTGTACAAACTACATTTTTCTGAAAATTCTAAATTGCGAAAAAAAAAACTTGACCCGTAGACATTTTCATTTTGGTATGTATTCGACTCGGCATGAGCCAAAGAATCAGAGGAAAAAAAATGTGCTTCTAGACCTTACAGTTCAAAAGTTATTAGCAGAAATATGAGTGCAAATTTGGCCTATTGGTGGCGCTAGAGAGTTTGAGATAGAGACTCCAAATTTTCTATGGATAATACTGAGCCTCTATCTGTATGCCAAATTTCATAACTTTCCCACAAGCGGTTCTAGACACCCAGAGCGGAAGAAAAAGAAAAAGAAGACGAAGAAAACTAACAGATACAATAGGTGCCTAAGCTATAATAACTGATAGTAGCAAATCAGCATATTAAAATGATTTCTGAAGGATCATGTGACATTGCAGACTGGAGAAATGGCTGTTGAAAATTCAGCTTTGCCTTCTCAGAAACAAACTGTATTTTAAAATATATTCAAACAGAAAACAGCTCTTTTAAATTGTAATAATATTTCCCAATATTACTGTTTCAACTGTATTTTTTATTCAAATAAATGCAGCCTTGGTGAGTATACGAGCATACTTCTTTCAAAAACATTAAAACATCATAATTATTCCAAACCTTTGACCAGTAGTATAAGTGTACATTATCACTGTAAATAAATGACAGTAATACCACCAAACTGCTCGCTGGTCTTGGTGGTACAACAGGGGCTCGCGTAGGGTCAGCAAGGTCCACTGTGTTTTTCTTGGATTCAGTTTCAGACCCTGACTGGGTCTCTGCTTGGGGTTCTGGACTGCGGGGAACTAACTGGATAGAGAGAGAAGCTACGTGTGTTTCAGAAGTTGCAGTGGGGTCTTGAGCTGGGGGAGCAGTTGTACTTTTTGGCTTAGTTTTAGACTTAGGGTCAGTTTTAATCATGTTTGTCTTGTTAGGTGCTGCATTTAGTTGGTCAGTGGTAAATTTTGAAGATGACAATTTGTTTCCCAGAACCCGAGTGATAAAACTGTTAGCATTAGCTTGTTGGGACAAAGGGGGCTCCTCCAGGGGGGCTCCAGGGGTGCTAGTGGAGGTTCGGGTGGTCTTAGAGTATGAGTACGAGGAGGTGTACGAGCCTGTGGAAATTATATCATGACTCTGTGGGGGAGAGAGGGAGGTGTCTGACAGCATTGCAAGGGAACTGTAATATGGGGGGTTAGGGGTCATGTGATAGCTCTCTCTCCGAGGGGGCGGCAAGGGGACCTGTCAGAGAAAAGGTCAATTCAAATAAAGTACATTTTCTCAGAGAAATTTCAATTTGACTGCTTTAGGGGTCAAGAAAATCACACTTGATATGAACCCTCTAGAAAGAAGTTATCATATTGGAAAAAGAACATGACGAATATTAATCCCAAATAATTTTTGAAGCTATATAATTTTGAAGCAACGCATAACATGAAAGAAGAGGATTGTTTGTTGTGGAAAAAAAATGAAGGGGGTACAAAATTAATGTAAAAATGTATTAGGAATAAATATGTACCAGTGTGGGAGATTTCTTATCCTGTAGGTTCGGTCTAACGCTGCGGAAGCCTTTAGAAGTCAAGGACGAGCTACTGGCATCTCCATTCCTTAACCCTTCAGACACACTACGTGAACGCCAGGCATCTACACACAAATAAATAAATACAAACACACACACACACACACAAACAAACAAATTATTATAGTTATTGTTAACTAAAACTAAACCTAAGTGAAATAATGCTCATACAAAATAAAATAAAATAGAATTATTAGACTAAAAAATGTAACCTTGGAAAAAAACTTACTAATACTAAAACACTTATTCATGTAGTAAATATTGTCTTAAGTGTCCAAATACTTCATGTAGTCACTGTACAGTACACATTAATATTTATATAAACACACTGATGAAAACAGAATCACATACACATCCAACAAACACTTGCCTGAATCTGATGACTGGGAATCACTACCTGTGGAAAAATAAAGCTGTATTAATATAAACACAATATTGTAACAATTACACAAGTGAGCTAACAATTTGGATCCGGAACTGCAAAAATGCTGTTAATATCATAACACTAATGGCCACAGAAAACCAAGACAAATATGACAAAAGACACAAGACATGCAGAAGGGTCATAGCCATTGAAATTAAGGGAGAACATGGCTCAGTTTTTAATGCTCCTATGTCACTCCTATATTTTGACTTTTTGCTAAAAAATATTTTTTTCCCCCTTTGGTTATATCTTATCTTGCTCATTACAGCATGTGAGTCGGTCCTGTTATTGGTGCCCCCTCCAAAATTATGTGCATGACGGCCACAATATGGGAATGAAAAGAGAGATGCAGAATTACAGAGAACAGATGATTAAAGAGCAGAAGCTGCTGTTGAACACAACTGAGAGAGACAGCTAGTAAGACGACACAAAGTTTGAAACACCACCTACTCCTCTCACTCATAATGATGATTAAAACTACAACATATGTTAACCTGAAGAGTGGAAGAATGAAAACTCACATTTTGAACAAAAACATAAATAAATGTATTTTACAACAATTAATTCTGGTCCTGTATTTTGCAAACTATACATGAACACATGCTGTCAGGATGACAGACGTTTCAGCACTGTAAGGGCCATTACAACTGAAAGTGAAGGGCATGGTCTCCATGTTGCTGTTTATATTGGCATCTGTTTTATTTCTTCAAATCAGTCTGTGCCTTAAACATTTCCACATTAAAAGAGTACAACAGTGCATCTTTTCAAAATTTAAAGATGTGTTGTCATATCTAAACCTTTAAAGTGGTCATATGATGCGATTTCAATTTTTCCTTTCTCTTTGGAGTGTTACAAGCTCTTGGTGCATAAAGAAGATCTTTAAAGTTGCAAAGACTAAAGTCTCAAATCCAAAGAGATATTCTTTATAAAAGTTAAGAGTCAACCACACCTACCTAAAACGGCTCGTTCTAACACACCCC